CTCATCTGGGGAGCCTTCCTTTCTTCCTGCTCCCCAGGCAGTTTCAGAAACCCTGACTGGCTCAGAGAGTGGGGGGCTGCCCCCCTCACCCACTCAAAGTGCTGCCATCAGCCCAAGAATAATCACCTCTTGAAACGTTCCTGGCTCTAGCACTCTGAGAATATAGGCTTCTGCAGCAATAGGGATTGAAGTTAGACACACAGCAGGGCTTCCTCAATGAAAAGAATGAATGTACTAAGGATTTGGGGTGGGATAGCAAACAATGAGAAATCCAACTTACTCCAGTGACCCCAAAGAGAACTTGAGAAGGAGGGAGCAAAGGGCCATAAAGGGGGAGGGAGAGAGATAGAAGAAGGGATGGCAGGCTGGTGGGAGGGTTTCCCATATGCCCCCTTCATAGAAAGATCAAACAAGAGGAGGGACTGAAAAACATCAGTGCAAAAACAGGTCACACTCCAAGACTTTCCCCATCCCAAGACCAAGTTCTTGGAGCATCAGTCTTCCCTATGGGCTGTGGTGAAGAATGTTATCTAAGGTCCCTATCTGGGAGGCAGAAGGCCTGGGTTCCTGGCACACTTGTACCACTGACTTGCCAGGTGTGACCTTGGGTGAGTATCTGCCCCTTTCTGTGCCTTGGTGTCCCCAGCAGTACACTGCAGGGCTGGACATAAAGCTCTCAGAGGGTCCTTCAGGAGAAGCCACAGCTAGCAAAGTCCTCAGAACCCAGCCACCTGCTCCCTTGTGGATCTCAGGCTGCCCTCCAAGGGCGATGCCCTCTAAGCACTGTAATGGCAGCCCTGCAGTGTGGACAGTGGAGGCAAAAAACTCAGGGAATGGGGCCAACTCTATTCTGTCCTAGGGATCTAGGCTAGGGCCACAGGCCCAGGTGAGTCTGTGAACTTGGTGAAAAGGTGGGAGCAGCTGTGCACTAGAATTTCTCTTTACTGGATGTGTGCTGTGCATGTGTTCGTGACATCCATGGACTTGTGTGTCAAAGTTTGCAGTGAGTGTGTGCAAGAGACAGTGGGTGTGCAGTGGGGATATATGTGTGTGCGCAAAGCCGTGTACAGCAAAGCATGACTGCACTGGGTGTTGCTGGGCAATTTCCATTCAATTCCACAACTGCTGTCACTGCCTGTGTGCTGGATGCTGGGATGCTGGGGACAGAAACAAGGGATGGAGGAGTGCTGCCCCTGAGGAGCCCGAGGTTTGGGTGTTGGTTATGGCTGAGGTGCAGGAGAAAGATGGCTCCAAATTAGACCCAGCTATGGGCTGAGCTCCTCCACGCCAACTGGGTGGCCTACTGCTGAGCCTCAGTCTCCCCATCCATCCAGTGAGGAAGATAACAACACCTACCTTACTGGGCTGTTGAAGACACAACGAGAGTGGTTTATATTGACCCTTTAGCACGGTGCCCAGCACACAGCTGATAATCCAAGTATAATCAGAAATTTTAGTCCAAACTCCCAACAGCAAACCCAGGTGGCCACAGGGAGCAAGAGACCAGTACAGGGCAGGGAGTCAGGAGTCTTTGGGTCTAGTCCCATAGCTGCCACAGATTTACTATGTGACCCAAAGCCTTGGTTTTCTCCTAAGCAAAATGGGCTGTCAAAATGTGAGGACCCACCTATGGGGGAACGCCTGAGGCCTCTGGGCACCCTTTGCTGGTATTATTTTCAGCCCAGCAATGCTCTTTCTCAGATGTCAAGGTGGGAGCCAAGGGGACGCCAGCATTAGGAGCCTGAGGGCCCCAGGAGCTGCCAGCACCTACTCCCCTCCCCATTCCCATAGCTTCTGACTCCAGGCACAAGGCTGACAGAGGATGTTTACAGAGTGTAAACCTCCACCTAGGGAAAGGGCTGGGCAGCTGAGGGCTGGGAGCAGCAAGTCTCACAGTCATGGGGGAGATGGGGCCTTGCTCTGTACCAGCCCCCTCCAGCTGCCTGACTACAAAAGGGAAGGCGGGTGGCCTTCAAGAAGGGGCAGCACAGAAGTGAGCATTCCCCACAGAGGCTCAAAAAGCCAGGTGGGCAGTGAAGTGGTGTTTCTCAAAATTCAGAGGGCAGGATCTATGAAGGATAGAAGGCTTAAAGTTGGGGACCTGGGCATAGGATGGGGTTAAGGGCTTGTGACAGGTCCAAGGAACTAAAGAGAGGCAGGAAGGCTGGGAGAGTGACCAGCAATCCTTCATTCTGGTCCTCAATAAGGGGAAGAACAGGAGTCAGCGATTCCCACGTCCCGGAGGCTGCAGCTGCTGGCACTAGAGGCAGAATTGGGGCTTGTCCTCAGGGCAATCTCCCACACCTTGGTGCTAGAAAAGTACAGGCTCTTTGGGCCCAGAGGACATGGTTGGCATGTGTGAGGGACGTGTCCCCTGGGGTGGATGGACCCAGCTCACCCCAATTCCCTCCTTCCTGAGCCCTTCTCTTCTGGAATCTTCTGCTGGGCCCCTCCTATAGGGCCTGGGTCTCTAGGAAGGGGGTTCTAGCTAACTGTACACATTGGATCCAACTTGGGCTGCCTCTAGGACCACTGGGGAGGTGGGCAAGGAGTTGACCAGAAATGCAGCAGTAGGGCTAGAAGTCCAACAGCAGGAAGCACTTCCTGGCAGGACCAGCCAAGCCCCAGCAGGGAACAACCGAGAACCTGCAGACCTGGAGCTCCTCAACAACAGAGGAGGCCTCCTGAGCACCCCTGCCCAGCCCTGGTAATATCCATCCTTCACACTGAGGCCCTTGCAGCTCTCCAAGCTCTTTCCCCCATAACCTCATCCAAGTGGGAGGCCCACAAGGCTGGGGTTTCTATCCACTTTGAGGGCCAAGAGATGGAAAGCTCAGAGAGGCCCAGCCATCAACCCAAAATCACACAGCAAGAGGTAGGGCTTCTGACCCCTCAGCCCCTTTGACCTCTAAGGTGAATGACCAATTCCCTGAGATCCCTGTCTGTATGTTTCTGCACCACGCTTCCTCTCCCAGAGCTCCTGAGAAATGCCTGAGCCCTGGGCTCCTGGAGACAAGTAGTCAGAACAAGCATGCCCCTGGCCAGGGCATTCCTGGTGTCCGGAAAGGGCGGGAAGTAGGGCAAAGGTACTAGCGGATTTAGCTCCTGGAGAAGAAGAGGCCCTTGCAGAGGAAGTAAAGACAGGGCTGGCCAAGGGCCTTCACCTCCAGTGACCCCCTTGGGAGCTGAGAGGCCAGGCGTGGGGTCTAAGGACACCCACCTCAGAGCCCTATTGGCTTCCTGAAGCCCAGCTCTGCCTTGGAAAATTCAGCCCTGTGTGGAGCGTCTGGCCCTCCTTGGGTGCCCAAGGTTGCATGGGGCAATGCAGCCACTCTTGATCAGAGTCCCCTGCCTCTTGCCCCAACGCTAGCCTCCCTGGTAACCCAGCACAAAACCTCTCTCAACAATCCTTTCTGCGGCAAAAAATACTCATCCCAGGCTTACAGGCCCTCCCAGTGAGCACTGGGAATTGGGCTACTTCTTGTTAGGATCAACTGTTGTTGATCCTGACCCTGAGTCTGACCTCATGTCCTGAGTAATCTCAACTCTCTGCCCCCAGCCTAGCACAGCAGGTCTCTGCACAAAGTCAGGGCTGCCACTCCCAGGAGCTAACTGGTCAAGACAGTTTTCTTCCTCTACCCTCCCTGTGGCCATGGAGCTCCTTTGCCAGCATTTTCCTCCCCTTCACTTCTGAAATTCTGTGGACCCAGTAGCATGGGGCAGAGGCAGGCAAGGGGGACAGGTGGACAGGCAGGAAAAGACAGGTGGAAACAGACGTGAGGAAGAAGAGTGAGACAGGCAGGCGGATAGGCAGAGTGACAGATGGATAGCAGGCACACAGATACCTGGGCAGGCCAACAGAGGGATGGAAACCGACAAGCAGGAGTACTGGACAGTTAGGTGGAGAGATGAAGACAGGCCAACTCACACACAGGTGGTAACTCAGTCTAGCAGAGGGACAGCCAGACAGGCAGAAGAACAAGCAAGGGGACCACCCATGAGACCCTAAGACCAGATGGCTCTTCCTGAGGGCAGCAAGAAGGAATTAATAGCAGCACATTTTCCAGAGACTGGAGGTCTCGGCATCTCCAAGCATCCCAGGGCCAGGCCCAGCCCTTCAACTGATATCCACGGGGCCTCTCATGTTCCTGGCTGGGCCAGGCCATCCCCCAAGACTGAGCTCTGAGCTGCCAAAATTCACTCTTTACATCCAAGAGGGGTCAGTGTTTTTGAAAGTTGTAGGATCCTGGTGAGGGGGAGGAGGGGGCCCGAAGTTTAGTGTTTCCAAACCTACTCCTCTCCTCTTTTTTTTCCCCCAGAGTGCCCGGAGCGGAGCCAGGCCCGGTGCAGCGTCCAGCAAGCTGTGCAGGCAGGGCAGCCCTCTGCTGCCACTGGGAAATTGAGGGGAGAGTCACACAGCACACACCAGTGTCAAGGCTCAGGCGGCTCACCCGGACCCCCAAACACCTATGGTCGGGGCCAGCCCCCAACTGGGATGGAGGGTGTCCCCGTGGAGGGTGTTACGCGCCCAGGTGGGAGCCCACTGCAGCAACAGAAATGGAGAGGTGACAGAAAGTGTGTGTGGGCTAAAGGCTCCCCTTTGTGTTTGGGACACAAGGAGATAGAAGCGGGGAAGATGAAAGGGGAGTCTCACTGTAGGGGTCCCAGATTGCAGAAAGGACAAGGACAAGAAGCTGGACGTGAGGAGTACCTGAGACAGAGGAGCCGGGTTGGAGATCGGGATGGAAATAGGAGTTGAAGTGGGGTAGAAGCGGGGTCAAGCAGGGGTCAGGACTTGGAGATTAGGGGTTAAGGTCTGGCTGGGGAGGATCAGAAATGCGCTCACGACTCGGGAGAGAGAGAAGAGGGTCGGCGGTGGGCTTGGGGGCAGGAGGCGGGGCCAGGGCGGGCCGCCGTCCTCGGGGAGCCCAGGCTCTGGCACGGGCCGCGCGGGGCTGCAGCGCGGGGGCACAGCTAGAGGCGCGGGGTTGCAAACTCACATGAAAACGTGGTAGATGAAGGCCCAGCTGCGGGGTCGCTCCAGCACGTTGTAGACCCAGTTCTGCAGGCGGCGGTAGCGCTTGTGCGCGGCAGAGGAGCGCTGGCCGCAGGCGGAGCCCGAGCCCGAGCCCGGCCCCGGGAGGGGCGCGCCCGGCGGCAGGGGGCTGCCCAGGAGGCCGAGGCGGCGCGGGGACCCGCCCCCGCCCGCCTCGCCCTGCTCGCTCTGCACGGCCGTGAGCGCCACCAGCTCGGCGCGGGGGGCGACCCCAGGCGGGGGGGCCAGGCCGAGGCGGCGCGGGGGGGCCTCGGCCATGGGCGGTGCCGGGCGGGGGCGCTGGGGCCAGGCTGCGGTCCGAGGCGGGGGCGAGCGCGGGGCGCTCAGCGGCTCATGGCTGCGACCGGGGCCGACGGGGCGGCCCGGGCCGGGCGCAGGCGGCGGGGGCTAGGGGCCGGGCCGGGGCCGCGCCGGGGCCGGGGGCGGGCGCTCGGAGCCTGGGGGCCGCCGGAGCCCGCACTGACCGCCCGCTTCCCCGGCGACTGGGGCGGCTCTTTCCGACTCCAACTCTCTTATTACGCGCTCCATGCCGCTCGCCTTTCCACCTGCCACCGGCGCCGCTCACATGTCACCCTCCCCCGCCCCTCCCCTCCCCCGTCCGCCCCCGCCCGCCCCGCGGCCGCCTTCCCAAATCGGGAGGGAGCGAACGAGCGAGGCTCGGCGAGGGAGGGGACGGACGCGCGGAGAAGGCGGCGGGGCTGGGCGCTCTGCGCGGGCCGCCGAGTCGGTGCCCAGCGCGGACCGCGTGGCGGCTGCCCCCGGGGGCCGGAAGGCTGGCCGTGTGCAAGTGGCGGGCACAGCTGCGAGGGCCGGCCTGTGTGGACCCGAAGGCCGGGCTGGGGGTGGGACGCGTGGTGCGTGGTTGTGGAAAGTGGGGCGTGGAGTGTGAAGTAGTGACCGCAGTCGTGGATGGAACACGGCGTCCTGGGGAGTTTCGGTGTGAATGGATGCAGAAGTGTCTGCTTGTGTGTGCAGAGTGGGTGGCTGTGGATCTGCGAGGCGGTGGGATTGAGCCCGTGCAGGTGGGGGCGCTAGCCCGGTGTGTATGGGTGTGAAGGTGGGCGTGCAGAGTCCTGTACGCTGGGTGGTGGTGGTGCAAGCGTTGAGGCGTGCGCCGTCGGGTCGTGCCCTTTGTAGGTTGTGCGGGGTGTGTAAAATGTGCCGGTGTGGCTGGGTGAGCAGCTCCTACCTGAAAGGCCCGGTACCCACGCGCTGCGGAGTGCTGTCAGTGTGTGTAGCGTAGTGGGCCTCAGCCGTGAGTTTTCCCTCCTAGACACCCCCACCTCAGGGCTTCCCTTCTTCTTGAGGAGGTAAGAGCCCCCTGGCAGGCCACACTGCCCCAAACGAGGGTCTCCTCTATTCCACGCGCCGGCGCCCCGCCAACTGCCTGAACGGTCCTCTCCCAGGACAGGGAACCAGGTTCAGGGCACAGGGGTGCGGGAAGTGAGCGCGGAACCAGTGGGCGGCTGGACAGCCCCCCTCTCCAACGGTTCACAGAATCCCACCCAAACAGGGGCTCCCTCCCACGGCACCTCCCCAGCTGGAAAGTTCTTGGTGCCTGTCCTCTCTAGCTGCTAGAGAGCAGCCCTTTTGTTCCCTTTAATCCTCTGTGCCCCGCACAGGGTGGTGATGTGGGTTTCCGATCCTCCTTCCCTCTTCGCTGACGAAAGCTTCGGCCACACCAGCCGCTCCCTCCGCAGGCCCTGCCCCAGGGTGAAGCGCTTCCGCAGCAAAGTCTTCCAGTTCCTCCGGGAGGCTCTCGGGGGACGGAGCCGGGCGGGAGGGGCGGAGCAGGGGGCGGGAAGGCGAACTCGATTCTCAGCTGTCAGCAAAGGCAGCATTGATCCGCTGAGCGTCAGTAGGGGAGGAAGGGAGGCAGAGTTAAGGGGCTGCAAGGAGGGGTCTGCAGGGACCTGGGGAGTTCCCAGGCTGGGCTCGGCAGCCGACCCGCAACCCCTACCCCATTAGTGACCCTTTTCTCTCTACATAGCACTGAGGGCTTTCTGGGGTTTGACCTGAACGGCTGCTCCAGGCCCCCTGGTATATCAGAGTCAGATCCTGGTGCCGCTGGGCAGGTCATGCCCCGTCCTCACTGGTAACTGGGGAACGTTTCTGGACCCCGGAGCCCATCTGTGGATGCAGTGCTAGGGGCTGGTTGACCCATCCTCTCCCTGTGAACTGAAGTTAGCACCCCCTAGAGATGTGGCTTTGCCTTCTGTGGACTGCATGTCTAAGGGCTTTCTCAATCGGGGGTCCTGGACTATGGGGCTAAAGCCTGGGGACTTGAATGGTGGGAAGCAGTTGTAAGGGATCTGGGGAAGCTTCTTGGGGTCTTTATGAGGCTCTTCTTCTGTGGCAGACATGACACCCGAACCGGGTTGCTCTTAATCAACACCCAGAATATCTTTAATTGGGTCTCTTCTGGGAAATATGATCCTCAAGTTCAGCATCGTCACTTGACCTCACGCCTCTCTTCCCATTGGGGGACTGCAAAGGTCCCTTCCTTGAGAGGAGCCCTCATTTCAGGAAGAGGGTCTCTCATGGAAATTCCCAACCAGATCCAGACTACCCACTGACAAGCAGCAGGAGGAGGAAAGAGAGTAGCTGCAACCAGAGGGATGGAAGTTAGGTCTCAGGAAGGCCTTTCACCAGGCACGGAGACCTGTTTCTGCTGCAGATGTAAGCGTAATGAGGGACAGGTCCACTGAGTTTTAAAGTGGAGAGACATGGAACGTTTCTTAAGAGGTGAGGGGAATGGGAAAGATGGTTCTAGGAGGCCTTAAGCAAAGTTTAGTTTGGGGGTGTGTGTGTGCATGTCTCTGTGGACCTGTACATGGGGGGCTGGAGAGGCAGAGAAAGTCCGGTTTAGAGAGGACAGGTGGCCACTCTGAGGGTCACCCAGCGACCTTCCTGCCCCCATCCAGATTCCCAGGGCATGACTGGGAGGCAGACTTCCCCACCACAGCCTTTAGTGACTCAGACACTTTTCTGAGCAGCTGTCTCAGGCTCTCTCCACCGCCTTCCCTGCTGGAGGGATTGAGGGTGCTGTGGTTTCCCACCCTCCTCTCTCCCCCTCTCCCACCTGTTCTCTTCACCCACCCTCAGCCCCCACCTTTCTCCCTGTAAACACTGCAAAACTGCCCCACTCTGCCCAGACACACTCCCTATCCCACCTGAGCAAGCCCCTTTCCCTCCCTGGGCTGAGTCTCCCCATCTGTACAAGAAGGGGGTAGGGAGCTAGCATCTCCTGGAATTCATCACTGTAGCCATCATCCATCAATGAAGCAAGTATTGATTGAGAGGAGCGGTGGGGATGGAGAGAGCTCCCATTTGCTGAGCACCAACTGTGGGCTAGGCCCTGCCCCTGCTGGAACTAAGAGCAGACCTTTGCATGTGAGAAAGCTGAGGCTCAGAGAGGTGCAGGGACTGACCTAAGGATACACAGCAGTGGATGACCCCAGAACTGTTTGTCACATGTCTTCTTCCCTGGCTGGACCTACCTAATGTGCACAGGATCCTGGGGTCAGTGCTACGGGCTGAGACACAGAGATGGTCCAATCCCTGTTCTCTAGTACTTACTCTTGCCAGGGAGAGAGACTCCCAAGTCTGAAAGGACTGAGGTCTGCAAGTGGCTGGGACCTCAGTCCCTGGGGCCAGGTTCAAGCCTGTCATTGATTGTGACAGCCTGCCAGTGTGACCTCCAGTCAACCAAGGGCACAGATTCCTTTCTTGGAAGGGGAAGGGGGCTTTAAGTCAGTGGTTTTCAGACTTCATTAGCAATGGAATCTATAGATAGAATTGTAAGGCAGCACCCAATGTGTAAAAAGCAGAGGTATTCTGGTTAAATTGGAGTGAGGGGATCAGAGTTCTGCTCACCAGACCTCTTCCTCTTCCCTCTTCACACCCCAGAAACCCTCTGGGTTTTCTTACAGCTTTAAGGTTTGCTAGAGGCCAAACAAGGGAGAAGTCTCCATTGGCAAGAGGAGAGGGGACCTTCTTGGGGACAGGGGTAGGGAGGCCTTGGAGTAGTTCAGAGAAGGGTAATCAGTTATGCCTGCAGCTACTATTGATGAGGACTGTGCTAATGGCTAAGCCTCCTGCAGGATGCTTCACCTGCATTGTCAATTGCAGCACTCCAACAAACCTGTGATACTGTACACACCTCCATTTCACAGGCGAGCCTAAGGTTCAGTGGAGACTTGCCCAGTATACCTCTTTACTCCTGTGCTATAGTGTCTGTGTGTGGGCATGGGGTAAGGCGTGGGGAGGGGGGAAGGATGTTATAGAGCATCAGGGAGGAAAAGCCAGTTTGGCAAGGGAGACACAGGAGGCCTTGAAAGCTAGGCTGAAGGGACCGATTTGGCCTGATAAGAAGCAGGGAGCCTGGCCAGGGCCTGAGCCTGGGTTTGCTGCAGAGGCTGGGACAGCAAGAGAGCTCAGGAGGGGGGGCGGAGTTTAAGGCACCAGCACCCAGGCAGGTTGGCAGAACCAGGGCAAAATGAGCACTGAACACAAGTCATGGCTGGGCTTCCTGAATCTACCAGCTGGTGACTTTGGGCAAGTCACTCCACCTCTGCCCTACCTCCCCAGACTGTGAGGAGGACCGACGCAATGATGCATGAATAAGTCAAAATTGTGCAGGGAGCTGTACAAATGTGAACCGTGATCTTACTGCTCTTCAGGCATGTGGGGGTCAGAAGAGGAGAGGCCATGGGAGTTCCCCGGTCCCAGAGACTCTTCTAATCTGGGAAAGCGTCCTGGAGGGAGAGGATTGGGGTGGAGGGGGCTCACAGGGTATTGACATCACCTGCATTATTTACTTCTAGGGATCAACCACCACGGACAACAGGAGGAGAAAGTGTAAGCAAAAGATCAGGCCTGCTTCCTTCTCCCAGAGAGGTAAGAGAGGACAAGAGACTTAGGTCACCCAGCAGGTGGAGGTGCTGGGAGGGGCCCAAGGAGTTTCTCTCCCCTCAGATCTGGGTGTGCCACTGAGCTGCCCCAGCCCAGACCTGCAGGCCTCTGGGCCTGCAGCTCAGAGCCACAGGATGTGTGGAGGGTCCGGTGACGCTGAGCTCAACGAAAGTGAACTGCCACTGATCCTCAGGGTTAGAGGGGAGTCCAAAATGAAGCAACACTGAGGGAGAAGTGACTGTGGGAGGTCAAAGCCGTCCCTTCTTCCACTGCTGCTCCTCCGTCTTCAGTATTCTTCCTCCTTAACCCCCAGTTCCTGGAAGACTGTGCAGAAAGCCAGTGCTGTTGTGGTCCTGCTGGTAGGCTCCACGGTGTCGGTGAGCACCACTGGGGCAGTGAAGTTGGTCAGAAAATGACTTTTCTGAGTTAGAGAGGGCAATGGAAAAAAGCTTCCCTGCTCCCACTCCCCTGGTGGGAGAAACCTGGATGAGGGCTCACAGCGGGAGGGTATATGAGTAGGCGGGACTACAGACTGAGTGGCAGGGAAGGGGGTTAAAAAGAGGGATGAGACCTGGTAAGAGAGGGTTCAGGAAGGAGAGGAGGGGCTCTGAAGGAAGGCTAGGTGCTCAGTGACAGGGATGGAAGGCCTAGAGAGTGG